CTTGACTATAGACTAATCTATAGTCATGACTATAGACTAATCTATAGTCATGACTATAGACTAATCTATAGTCATGACTATAGACTAATCTAAAGTCTTGACTATAGACTAATCTAAAGTCTTGACTATAGACTAATCTACAGTCTTGACTATAGACTAATCTTTAGTCTTGACTATACACTAATCTATAGTCTGGACCTTAGACTAATCTGAGGTCTTTACTATATGTAGACTAATGACTAATCTTGACTATAGACTAATCTGTACTCTTGACTATAGACTAATCTATAGTCTTGACTATAGACTAATCTTTAGTCTTGGCTGTAGACTGATCTATAGTCTTTACTATAGACTGATCTATAGTCTTGACTATAGACTGATCTATATTCTTGACTATAGACTGATCTATAGACTGATCTATAGTCTTGAGTATAGACTGATCTATAGTCTTGACTATAGACTGATCTATAGTCTTGACTATAGACTGATCTATAGTCTTGACTATAGACTGATCTATAGTCTTGACTATAGACTGATCTATAGTCTTGACTATAGACTGATCTATAGTCTTGACCATAAGGTGATCTATAGTCTGGACTATAGACTGATCTATAGTCTTGACTATACACTGATCTATAGTCTTGACTATACACTGATCTATAGTCTTGACTATAGACTGATCTATAGCCTTGACTATAGACTGATCTACAGTCTTGACTAAAGACTGATCTATAGTCTTGACCATAGAGTGATCTATAGTCTTGACTATAGACTGATCTATAGTCTTGACTATAGACTGATCTATAGTCTTGACTATAAACTGATCTATAGTCTTGACTATAGACTAATCTATAGTCTTGACTATAGACTGATCAATATTCTAGACTATAGAATGATCTGTAGTCTAGACTATAGGATGATCTGTAGTCTAGATTATAGGAAGATCAATAGTCAAGACTATAAGATGATCTAGTGTCTTGACTATAGACTGTCTATAGACTGACTTTTTTTATAGCAAATTATTTATTTTAATCTTAAAAATATGTAAATCTTAAAGATCGGTCTATAACTTTTCCAATCCCCTATATAAAGTCAGCTAAATATAAACACTACTCCAAATTATCATATGGTCGAACATTTCCACCATAATTTGTTATTTTCTTTTAACAAAATTTCACCATTCAATTATAAAATATTCCCACACTCATACTGGTTTATTATTTAATTCTATCGAGCAAAAAACAATCGATATTTGCCACAACAATTAGTTTCTCTTCATTTGTTTAGTTGAATGTCAGAATTGAAATTCAATTAAATTTTTGTTTTCGTGTATTATTAATGATACTGTGATATATGTAAGTATGTCCAACATTCATTCCGTATAGTTATGGATTTAATAATTTTTTTGTTTGGTTATTTCAAACAATATTACAATTGTTACAATCACTTATCAATTATTTCATATTATTGACATCTGTTAGAATATTTTCAATTTAATTGTGGAAATATTTAAGAGGATTTTCATTTGAAGTGATGATGATGATGATGGCTGGTTTTGTTATAACAAATGTATGTGGTATAGAAAATATTAGGGAAATTTGCAATTTGTTGAAAACCATATTTTTTGGGGGAATTCTCCATGAGAACTATTAGCTTAATGATCATTATGATAATTTTGTCTTTTTCATTTATTTCATAACCAAGTCTTAGATAATATATTTTTCTCCATTTCCTACCGGGATGCTAAATATTTCTACGTCCACATTTTAATTAAATTCTAACATTTTTAGTTGAATATAAAATTATTCCAAATAATATGTTTTGCCAAATTTTGTGACATTTAACAAATATATAATTGATCATTATAAAATAATTACTTCTACAATAATTTATGATAGAATTGTCGTATGTGTTATTGGCAATGTTTATTTTAGTTGTTTTTATCTACATAACTAATTATTTATTCTTAAATAAGTATAATCATTATTGTAATGACAATGATGACGCCATTGACCGATTATTTGCATGGTAATTTGTTTGTTTGTCCGTTTAAAATAAAAATACATGTCAACAATTGTCAATATGAATTATTTATGTATATGGCTAGAAGCTATCCATTAGGTTGGTAACAATTTCAGGGAAAATTTTTCTATAGAAAATAGTTCATTGATGAAAATTTTTAAAGTATTATAATATTTTTTATAGAAAATTGACGCTAATAGAAAAATGTTCATGTTAATACTATTCTATAGAAATCTTTTCACTTATGAGATTTTCTAAAGGAAAATGTTTAGTGATGAAATTTTTCTATACAAAAGTTTTCACTGATGGAGTTTTTCTGTAGGAAAATGTTCACTGATGAAATTTTTCTATAGGAAAATGTTCAATGATGAAGGTTTTCTATAGGAAAATGTTCAATGATGAAGATTTTCTAAGGAAAATGTTCACTGATAAATTTTTTCTTAAGGAAGTGAACATTTTCCTTAAGAAAAAAGATGAAGTTTTTCTATAGGAAAATTATAAAGTTTTTCATTAAGAAAATGTTCACTAATAATGTTTTCTATACAAAAATGTTCACTGATGAAAAATTTTCTGTAGAAAAATTTTTTCTGTAAAAAAATTATCACTGATAAACGTTCTCTATAGAAAAATCTTCACTGATGAACTTTTTCTACGGAAAAATCTTCACTGCTGAACGTTTTCTATAGAAAAATCTTAAATGATGAACTTTTTCTATAGAAAAATCTTCTTTGATGAACTTTTTCTAAAGAAAAACCTTTACTGATAAACTTTTTCTATAGAAAATCTTCACTGATGAACCCTTTCTGTAGAAAATCTTCTCTGACGAACGTTTTCTACAGAAAACTCTTCACTGATGAACTTTCTCTATAGAAAAATCCTCTCTGATGAACTTCACTGATGAACTTTTTCTGTAGAAAAATCTTCACTGATTATAATATTTTTTATAGAAAATTGACACTAATGAAATTTTTCTATAGAAAAATGTTCATATTATCACTGATAAACGTTCTCTATAGAAATATCTTCACTGATTAACTTTGTCTACAAAAAGGTCTTCACTGATGAACTTTTTCTGCAGAAAAATCTTCACTGATGAACTTCTTCTATAAAAAAATCTTTTCTGATAAACGTTTTCTACAGAGAAATCTTCGCTGATGAACTTTTTCTACAGAAATATCTCCACTGATGAAGTTTTTCTACAGAAAAATCTTCAATGATGAACTTTCTCTATAGAAAAATCCTCTCTGACGAACTTTTTCTATAAAAAATCTTCACTGATGAACTTTTTCTCAAGAAAAATCTCTAATGATGAAGTTTTTCTATAGAAAAATCTTCACTGATGAACTTTTTCTACTGAAAACTCTTCACTGATGAACTTTCTCTTTAGAAAAATTTTTACTAATGAACTTTTTCATCTTCACTGATGAACTTTTTCTATAGAAAAATCTTCACTGATGAACTTGCTCTATAGAAAAATCTTTACTGATGAACTTTTTCTATAGAAAATCTTCACTGATGAAGTTTTTCTATAGAAAAATCTTTTTCTACTGAAAACTCTTCACTGATGAACTTTCTCTTTAGAAAAATTTTTACTAATGAACTTTTTCATCTTCACTGATGAACTTTTTCTATAGAAAAATCTTCACTGATGAACTTGCTCTATAGAAAAATCTTTACTGATGAACTTTTTCTATAGAAAATCTTCACTGATGAAGTTTTTCTATAGAAAAATCTTCACTGATGAAATTTTTCTACAGAAAACTTTACACTGCTGAACTTTCTCTATAGAAAAAGCCCCTCTCTGATGAACTTTTTCTATAGAAAATCTTCACTGATGGACTTTTTCTATAGAAAAATCTTCACTGATGAACTTTTTTTATATAAATTTCTTCACTAATGAACTTTTTATATAGAAAAATCTTCAGTGTTGACCTTTTTCTACAGAAAAATCTTCACCTATGAACGTTCACTATAGAAAAATCTTTACTTTTATAGAAAAATCTTCACTGATGAACGTTTTCTATAGAAAAATCTTCACTGATGAAGTTTTCGTTTAGAAAAATTTTCACATAATGGTCACTGATGATCTCTTTCTATAGAAAAATTCCAATGATGAACTTTTTCTATAAAAAAATTATCACAGATGAACTTTTTCTATAGAAAAATCTTTGCTGATGAAGTTTTTCTATAGAAGAATCTTCACTGATGAAGTTTTTCTATAGAAATATCTTTACTAATGACATTTTTTATAGAAAAATTTTCACTGTTGAACTTTTTCTATAGAAAAATCTTAACTGGTGAACCATTTCTATAGAAAAATCTTTACTGATGAACTTTTTCTATATAAAAATCTTCACTGATGAAGTTTTCCTGTAGAAATATAATCACTGATGAACTTTGTCTATAGATCAATAATTGATTCAATTTTTCTCGATAAAATGTTCTCATATGAAATTTTTCTCAATAAAAATGTTCTCATATGAAATTTTTCTGTAGAAAAATGCTCACTTGCAAACATTTTCTATAAAAAATGTACACTGATTTTTTAGGTATTGATTTGATTTTTTAGTAAATTGCATGGATAGGTTAGAAAGGTGTCTGAAAATGATTTACCCCATAAATGTATTTCCAAATATGCCGTTATACATACAATGTAAACAGTAATTGACTATTTAAATAATAATATTTTTTAACCACTTTTTTGGTTATAATTTCTGGGGCGTGTAAAAAACCCACTTAAATAAGAATTTTTTTATAATTTTTTTCCAATTATTTGTTCTGTCCCATATTGTTTACAAGGACGACTACTAAAAGTTTTTATTTATTCAAGGAATCAACTAAAAAAAGGTTGTTATTTTTTATCAATAATTTTACCCTAAGACGGTTGTTCTTTTTTTTTTTTTTTGGAATATTTTCTTTTGTCGAACATTTTTGGACTATTTGTTTTTTAGTATTAGCCAACAATTTTTGTTGTTTTTATTTAGATAAGACAGTGTTTGTTTGTCTTGCGTGCTTTTGTTTACAGTCAATATATTTTTGAATAATCATTTATCACGTTACGCTGTGATAAGGTTAAAGTGGATAGAAAATATTTTTTAAGGGGAGAAACAATATGGAATGATATTTTTAAAGTATATAAAATTTTTAGTAATTTTGTTTGTTATCTGTCTATAATATAATATTTTTAGGTTCCTTTTGTTATTGTTTATTTTTTTTTTGTATATAACTTACCTATCAACAGCTATAGCCACTAAATGCAGTATAGAAGCTGTGCAACACAATACATCTATTGACGTCCAAATGTCACACAATTCCGGTCCCAATATCCAACCTTGACTTATCTATTTTCATTTTGTGTGGAAAAAAGAAAATAAAAATACATATTTTTTTTTCATTTAATAAACATTTTCATTTGAATTTAATTATTGCATTTTTTGGCTAATAAAATTTCTGTATTTTTCTTATAATGCAGATTCTGTTTTACTTAAGAGCAAATTGCAAATTCTTTTAATAATTTTTTAATTTAATTAAACTAAATTATTTCTCTTTGCAACATTATTTACATTCCATTACTAAATTATTATTTTATTGCATTACTCGGCGTATACTTTATATTTAATTAAGGGCAAATATTAAAATATCACTTATACGTCATGTAGGTCAACAAATATTTCAAAATATTTATATAGAAAAAATATCACTGATGAGATTTTTCAATAGAAACATTTTCATAAACTAGATTTTTCTATAGAAAAATAGTCAATGATGAAATTTTTCTATAGTAAAATGTTCATTGATAATGTTTTCTATAGAAAAATGTTCACTGATGAATTTTTTCTATAGAAAAATGTTCACTGATTAAGTTTTTCTATAGAAAAATGTTCACTGATGAAGTGTTTCTATAGAAAAGTGTTCACTGATGATGTTCTTCTATAGAAAAATGTTCACTGATGATGTTTTTCTATAGAAAAATGTTCACTGATGAAGTTTTTCTATAGAAAACTGTTCTCTGATGAAGTTCTTCTAGAAGTTTTTCTATAGCAAATTGTTCACTGATTGAGCTTTTCTGTAGAAAAATGTTAACTGATAAGATTTTTCTACAGAAAAATGTTCATTGATGAAAGTTTTCTGTAGAAAAATGTTCAATGATGCAAATTTTCTGTAAAAAAATGTTCAATGAAGATATTTTTCTTTAAAAAAATGGTCAATGATGAAATTTTTTTATAGAAAAATGTTCATTGATGAAATTTTTTTATAGAAATATGTTCCCTGATGAAATTTTTCTATAGAAAAAAGTTCACTGATGTATTTTTTATACAGAAAAATATTCAATGATGAAGTTTTTCTTAAGGAAAACGTTCACTGATAAAGTTATTCTTTAGGAAAATGTTCACTAATAAAATTTTTCTATACAAAAATGTTCACTGATGAACTTTTTCTATAGAAAAAAGATCACTGATGAAGCTTTTCTTCAGAAAAATCTTCACTGATGAAGTTATCCTTTAGAAAAATCTTAACTAATGATTTTTTCTATAGAAAAATGCTCACTAAAGAAATTTTTCTATAGAAAAATGTTCACTAAAAAAATTTCACTGATGAAGTGTTTCTATAGAAAAGTGTTCACTGATGATGTTCTTCTATAGAAAAATGTTCACTGATGATGTTTTTCTATAGAAAAATGTTCACTGATGAAGTTTTTCTATAGAAAACTGTTCTCTGATGAAGTTCTTCTATAGAAAAATGTTCATTGATAATGTTTTCTAGAGAAAAATGTTCATGATGAAGTTTTTCTATAGAAAAATGTTCACTGATGAAAATTTTCTATAGAAAAATTATACTTATGAAGTTTTTCTATAGCAAATTGTTCACTGATTGAGCTTTTCTGTAGAAAAATGTTAACTGATAAGATTTTTCTACAGAAAAATGTTCATTGATGAAAGTTTTCTGTAGAAAAATGTTCAATGATGCAAATTTTCTGTAAAAAAATGTTCAATGAAGATATTTTTTCTTTAAAAAAATGGTCAATGATGAAATTTTTTTATAGAAAAATGTTCATTGATGAAATTTTTTTATAGAAATATGTTCCCTGATGAAATTTTTCTATAGAAAAAAGTTCACTGATGTATTTTTTATACAGAAAAATATTCAATGATGAAGTTTTTCTTAAGGAAAACGTTCACTGATAAAGTTATTCTTTAGGAAAATGTTCACTAATAACATTTTTCTATACAAAAATGTTCACTGATGAACTTTTTCTATAGAAAAAAGATCACTGATGAAGCTTTTCTTCAGAAAAATCTTCACTGATGAAGTTATCCTTTAGAAAAATCTTAACTAATGATTTTTTCTATAGAAAAATGCTCACTAAAGAAATTTTTCTATAGAAAAATGTTCACTAAAAAAATTTCTATAGAAAATGTTGATTGACTAAATTTTTTTCGCAGAAAATGTTCACTGATGACTTTTTTCTATAGAAAAATGTTTACTAAAAAAGTTTTTCTATATAAAAATGTTCTCTAATGAAGTTCTATAGGAATATGTTCACTTTTCTATAGAAAAATGTTCACTAATGTAATTTTTCTATAGAAAAATGTTTACTAATGTAATTTTTCTATAGAAAAATGTTCACTAATGAAATTTTTCTATAGAAAAGTGTTCACTGATGAAATATTTCTATAGAAAAGTATTCACCGATGAAATTTTCTTATAGAAAATGTTCATTGATGATGTTTTTGTTCACTGTTAAAGTGTTTCTATAGAAAAAATTTCACTGATGAACATTTACTATATAGAAAAAAGTTCACAAATTAAAGTTTTCAACAGAAAAATGTTCACCGATAAAAGTTTTCTATAAAAATAAGTTACTAATGAAATTCTACATTGCGTATACTTAATATTTAATTAAAAGCAAATATTAAAATATTACTTATACGTTATGAAGCACAAATATTTGAAATATAAATAATTATAATTAAATTATTTAAAATGTATGTACTTTTGAGAAGATTAATAATTTCAATCAACTGAAATTATAAAATTTATAATTTTATTAATTATCTACCATATTTAAAGAAATTTATTTACACACAAATTTGTTTAATATTTATATAAACATACAATTCTCTTGGGTAATAGCAGTTGCACTATTATAAATAGTTACTGCAATTACTAAGGCTTGCAAAGCATATTAATTTTAATTTCAGGAGCTGTATACAATGAATTTTAAATAGAAAAAAAACAAGCTTTTAATATATTTTGCCAACTGATGCAAGCATCCTTATACAGTTCACTAAATTTTTATTTTCTTTTTCTAAACTCGAGATATTTTTACTACATTTAGCTAAATTTATGTGAACTTGCAACTTGTATCTATATATTATAAGCATTTACTTACCTCGTAAACAGCACCCAATGGCATTACTAGACAGGCGACAAATAAATCAGCTACAGCCAGTGATGCTACCAAGTAATTAGCAACATTTTGTAAATTTCGTTCCAAAATGATGGCAGCAATTACAAAAACATTGCCTGTTTGGTTGTTGTTTTATTTTCATTTTGTCATTGTCATAATTATTTAAAATGTCAGCATAAAAATAACCATTAATGACCACGAGGGTGGTAAGTTTATTAAGATGTTTTTTGTTGTTGCATATTGCCAATGGACACATGTGTGTAATAATAGCAGCAGCATCGTTAATATTGAGCACGATTTTTTTTTCGTTTGAGTTATTTTTCCATTTGTTATTATATGCATGCACATTCAGGTTTTGTAAAGGATTTTTAACAAAAATCATTTTTGAAGTTGTTTTTAAATGAAGTTGTCATTGTTGAAAATTGCGGAAGATACATAGTAAATGAAAAGAAATTAAGGGATGGACAAAAATTTTAATTTTTTAATAATTAATGGAAATTATATTTTTTTCATAAGAAATTTTTGTGCAGAAAATGTTGTTTTATTTTGAAACATTAACATAAATTTATTCAAATTATTGGCTTTTGTTATCTATGATTTTTGCCATTTTTCTAGGATGATATGGATTTTCTAAAAAATTTTCACTGATGAATTTTCACCAATGAATTTTCTTTTATAGCAAAATCTTCACTACTGTATTTACTTAATAAAGTTTTCAATTGAAATATGTTAACTAATGAAATTTTTCTATAGAAAATGGTTTACTAATGAAACTTTACACTGCGTATACTTAATATTTAATAAAAGCAAATATTAAAATATTGCTTATACGTTATGAGGGCCAGAACAGAATTTCAAAACTAAAAGTTAGTTAACTCTAAAACGATTTTTTTCTTTGGAAAAGTCATCACAGATGAAAAATTTCCATGGAACAATGTTCACTGATACTATTTTTCTATGGAAAAATATGTACTAATGAATTATTATATATAAAAGTTTTCAGTAAAGAATTCATTATAAATAAATATTTTAGGAAAAATAAGTAATGAAATTTTACACTGCGTATACTTAATATTTAATTAAAGCAAATATTAAAATATTACTTATACATTATAAAGGCCAAAAATTCATTTCATTTTCCTCGGTTCTACGATTTCTTTAGAAATAACAAAAATAAAAGAAAATCCGCAAAGCTGTGAAACCAACACTCATCGAAAAAATTTAATTTTTAATAAAATTTTCACAGGTTGCCTCAAATTTTTGCTCATATCCCCGTCATTTGTGGACGGAATTTGCTGAATAGGAAATTACTCGAAACCACTTCTGACAGAATATTGAAGACGAAGAGACAGTTGGACATTGCTTAACTGACTCCGCTAATTGTTGGTCAGTTAGTTAGTTAGTTAGTTAAGTTAGTTAGTTGGTTAGTTAGTTAGTTAGTTAGTTAGTTAGTTAGTTAGTTAGGTTAGTTAGTTCGTTAGTTAGTTAGTTAGTTAGTAGTTAGTTAGTTAGTTAGTTAGTTAGTTAGTTAGTTAGTAGTTAGTTAGTTAGTTAGTTAGTTAGTTAGTTAGTAGTTAGTTAGTAGTTAGTTAGTTAGTTAGTTAGTTAGTTAGTTAGTTAGTTAGTTAGTTAGTTAGTTAGTTAGTTAGTTAGTTAGTAGTAGTAGTTAGTTAGTTAGTAGTTAGTTAGTTAGTTAGTTAGTTAGTTAGTAGTTAGTTAGTTAGTTAGTTAGTTAGTTAGTTAGTTAGTTAGTTAGTTAGTAGTTGTAGTTAGTTAGTTAGTTAGGTAGTTAGTTAGTTAGTTAGTTAGTTAGTTAGTTAGTTAGTTAGTTAGTTAGTTAGTTAGTTAGTAGTTAGTAGTTAGTTAGTTAGTAGTTAGTTAGTTAGTTAGTTAGTTAGGTAGTTAGTTAGTTAGTAGTTAGTAGTTAGTTAGTTAGTTAGTTAGTTAGTTAGTTAGTTAGGTTAGTTAGTTAGTTAGTTAGTTAGTTAGTTGTAGTTAGTTAGTTAGTTAGTTAGTAGTTAGTTAGTTAGTTAGTTAGTTAGTTAGTTAGTTAGTTAGTTAGTTAGTTAGTTAGTAGTTAGTTAGTGTAGTTAGTTAGTTAGTTAGTAGTTAGTTAGTTAGTTAGTTAGTTAGTTAGTTAGTTAGTTAGTTAGTGTTAGTTAGTTAGTTAGGTAGTAGTTAGTAGTTAGTTAGTTAGTAGTTAGTTAGTTAGTTAGTTAGTTAGTTAGTTAGTTAGTAGTTAGTTAGTTAGTAGTTAGTTAGTTAGTTAGTTAGTTAGTTAGTTAGTTAGTTAGTTAGTTAGTTAGTTAGTTAGTTAGTAGTAGTTAGTAGGTAGTTAGTTAGTTAGTTAGTTAGTTAGTTAGTTAGTTAGTTTAGTTTAGTTAGTTAGTTAGTTAGTTAGTTAGTTAGTAGTTAGTTAGTTTAGGGTAGTTAGTTAGTTAGTTAGTTAGTTAGTTAGTTAGTTAGTTAGTTAGTTAGTAGTTAGTTAGTTAGTTCGTTAGTAGTTAGTTAGTTAGTTAGTTAGTTAGTTAGTTAGTTAGTTAGTTAGTTAGTTAGTTAGTTAGTTAGTTAGTTAGTTAGTTAGTAGTTAGTTAGTTAGTAGTTAGTTAGTTAGTTAGTTAGTTATTAGTTAGTAGTTAGTAGTTAGATTAGTTAGTTAGTTAGTTAGTTAGTTAGTTAGTTAGTTAGTTAGTAGTTAGTAGTTAGTTAGTTAGTTAGTTAGTTAGTTAGTTAGTTAGTTAGTTAGTTAGTTAGTTAGTTAGTAGTTAGTAGTTAGTTAGTTAGTTAGTTAGTTAGTAGTTAGTTAGTTAGTTAGTTCGTTAGTTAGTTGTTAGTTAGTTAGTAGTTAGTTAGTAGTTAGTTAGTTAGTTAGTTAGTTAGTTAGTTAGTTAGTTAGTTAGTTAGTTAGTTAAGTTAGTTAGTAGTTAGTTAGTTAGTTAGTTAGTTAGTTAGTTAGTTAGTTAGTTAGTTAGTTAGTAGTTAGTTAGTTAGTTAGTTAGTAGTTAGTAGTTAGTTAGTTAGTAGTAGTAGTTAGTTAGTTACTTTGTTAGTTAGCTCAATAATTCAATTCAATGTGACATATGACTTCTGGTCGCGTATATTCTTAAAATTATATAAATTTAAATGAATATAAAAAGCTCTTTAATATTGAGCGCAACAACTTAATCAAAGTACATACAACAGGAACTTATTTTTACTAGCTTTGAGAATATTTAATTTTGTTTGTTTAGAAATCAAAAGAAATACACCCCCTCCCCACCAAACAACCAACCCCTCCATTTACTTAGGTGTCTAGTGTTTGTCTTTACATATCATTTCCACAGAAAATGTTAATAAAGCCATTTTGTTACGAGTGCAAAGTCAGCTTTTATGATGTTTTTCTATTTTAACATTTTTTTGTATTTACTTTCTCACATTATTTTTCTTTATTTACTTAAAAAACCTACAAAGGTACAATAGTTTTTTTAGCCTTTTTTGGTTTTTTTTAAGTGCACACACTAAAAAGCTGAAATGACCTTGTAATTTTTTTTGTTTAATTTTTCACCAAAAATAGTGTTTTAAAAATAATGTAAAACATATATAAAGGAAAGTCCCAGAAAAAATTTTCATTCGAAAATAAAGCTCAAAGTAATAGTGATTGTTACCAACAGCTAGATATTTTAGAACAGGTAAACAGAAATAAAATAATTTTATATCAACTTTGGTATGTGCTTAACATTATTAGACTAGTTTAACGTAATGACGACGGTATGTAGTAGTTATAGAAATGTATTTTGTTAAGAAGGTGAATACATTTTGGAAGCTTTATTAGTGTATTCTGCTGGGTTATTAAAAATCTAAAAAAACATATTCATAGTATGTAGGTTTATAAATAGAAATATTTATGAACAATTCATTCTTTGTAAAAAATGAAGATTCAAAATGTAGAGCATTTTTAAGTGGTACCTCGAAGTTGTTTTCTGCCAAATTTTGATCAAGCCGCAATTGTGGTAAATATTTAATGTTTGGAAAATGGAATTATTTAAAGAAGAAAGAGAAAACACTGCAATGTTTAAAGCTATTTTTAAAAGGACAGTAGTTAGTACCACAACGATTCATATATGTAAAATTTTTACCGCAAAGTGGAACGAAGCTTATATAAACAAAAAGACAGTTCCAAAAGAGTTGCCATGTAGAAGGTTAACTTCAAATTATTTCAACTTTTTTCTCAATTTTTTAAAGATGTTAAAAATTTCATTTTTTAAGTTTCCAAAACTTTCATCATTATATTATTGTTATTATTTTTTTTAACTCAAATATAAAACAAAGTAAACTACAAAAAAAATACTTTCCCAATTCAATCATAAATAAAGACTTTTTCTTCTGAAAAAAAAAAAACGAAACACATAAAATTTTCAAATTTGCTTTCTTATCAACGTCACTTTTTCCTCCTCCACCACCCAGTACAAAAAATACATATAAAAAGTATTAAAATGTTAAGACTTTCTTATTTTCTCTTTACTTTTTGTTTTACTAATCTTTTTTAAGTTTTTAATATCCAACAACATTTTACGATTCGTATAATTTTTTAAGTGTATTAAAACATAATCATTTCAAATGGTTTATCAAGATTTTTTTTTCGAGAAAGATGGCAACAATGTTTTATTATTTACAGGTATAAAAAAATTTTAGAAGTTTTTCCGAAAACTTCATTTAATATAAATTAAAAGAAGAAACTGTTTGAATTTTTTAATAGTTTTCAGAAAAAAAAGAAACAAGTATTTACCAAAGAGTAGTTATTGTAGAAAACCAAATGTAAAAAATATTGGGAAATTACTCTTGCTGTCTGAAAAACACCATGGTTATTTTGTAGTTTTATAAAAAAAAAGTAAAGTATTTGAGTGAAGTTAAAACAAAAACTTAAAAGAGTGAAATAGACATGAAGTGGAAGTTATTTTTATTTCCATTTAAAATGTCAGAAACATCGGGAACATGAACAATGCAAGTTGATGTGAAATATTTGGTAGAATCGCACTTTTCACAGAAGGATAAAAGTAAATAAAAAAATTTTATATTTAAAAACAATCGACCACTGCACAGTGGTCAAGAAAAGGTCAAGAGTTGTTGTGGAGATGTT